GCAGGTTCTAGTCAAGGTTAATTTTAAAACTGCCTGTACTGCTCTCAGTGTAGCTTCATTTTTGTTACATTCAAGATTTCAATCTTGGCTCAGATTTTGCTAGTTCTTGAAGTACGTGGATTTTATAAATAGCTGTTCTTTCTCTGGTAATGAGCTCCCTATGTTTAATCATCTGCACTGTACCAGAACTTATGTATGAAAACTGACAAATTACGCCTGGTCAATTTGCTGAGTTCTTCCCTCAGCTGTTGCCATCCTGGTACACAATATTTCTGTAAATACATTGAAATATGATAGATATTGAAACAAAATTACTCAGTGATCATAAAAATACAGTTTGTGAAAATGTGGCATTTTAATTATGTACTTATGATACTTCTGTCCTAGCTAAGCCTGGCACGAAAAATATTTTATTGAACCATATATCAACACTGGGCAAGTGAATTTTTATTCCAGTTTCAAATTCTTTGGGGCCACATTTTATTTTTATAATATATTAAACAACAGCAATTTATCATGCCTATTTCATAGGTAAGCCCAGACCCAACCTGCAGGATGCTTAAACTGTTTACTAGTACCTCAACCTAGAGGATTCACTTCCAGAATGAATCTACAGAGTGAAGCTACTACACTTCCAAAATTGTAGTAGCTTGTTCGTACCAACACAACCTCAAATAAGGAAAAAAGAGACATGCAGTTTTCATATCCTCTCCTAATTATTGACACCTACTTGCTTTTTGTGGAAGCTGAAACTAATATAATTAAACTTATTTAAATTAATTTTAAAGTTACTTGATTAATCAAGAATCTCATAGGTGATACCTTATTTCAAAGAAGAGATCTAACACCCTTCTAGATGTTCTAGAAAAAGTATAAGACATCCATGTACTTCTTGAATTTAAGTATGGATTCTTCTTCGAAATGAAGCATGGCTGGAGCTGCTCCTTTGACTAAGAATAAACTGAAAAATTTCTGGCCCACTAACATTTCTTCTCATAGCAAGAGGTTAATTCCTTGCTTCTGTCTTGAGATTGCCTAACATGGATTACCTAACATGGATTCAGATGCACTATTACCTCTTCTGAGCCCTACAAATTTGTAGAGAATTGCATGTATCCAACTTTGCCAAACAGCCATCTCTTGGAAAAAGTGTTAAGGTTTTTGTAATTATTCTTTTCTTTCCAGATTTTCCCTTGAGAAGACAGGTATACTACAACAGTGGCAAATATGGGAAGCTTTTCTTTTGCATCACTTTTCTTTAGAGAAAGTCCACTAAATCTTGCTAACAAATCCCATCAAAATTCCATCAACAACTACATTACACCTTAAGGACAAGCAATCCTTCCTATGCTCCTTATTCAGGAACCTGATCCATTATCCCAGCCTCTCTATTACATCATAAACTCAATTCAGGCTAATGCAATGACTTCTTCCAGTAAAGAAAGAGTTGTTCTCAAGGCCACTTGAAAACAGAGATTTTTATTTTTTTTTTAAAGCTACCTTTCTCTATTTTAAGTCCACTGGGAAAGTTAGGAGCACTTGCATTACCATGAAATTTCAATCCTGTAAAGAAAAACTTCACTGCTTCTCTATTAATCCCTTTAATTTTTCACACCTGACCAGCTCTAAGCCTGGATTTATAAATAGCACAACATTCTATGATTCTATTACATAAAAAATACACCTTTTTCCTTATATGTTTTAAGATGAAATTGTAATCATGGTTTTGCATTTTCTAGGTAATTTTTGTGCGTGTTTATTCCTTTTTTTTTTTTTTTTTTTTTTTTTTGTACATTTGTCAAATGCCAAACTGGCACAATTCAGAAGAATTAGACCAGCAGAAGAACATATCTGGAACCTCCTCCTTCATTAGCATCATCACTTCACACCGTGTTTTATTTATATACTTGTAAACTACAACATTTGGATCTGCATGGTCACAGATTTCCACAGTTTGCTCCCATTACTACCCTCTGTAGACCCTTCAAGCACATTATTTTATTTTGTTCTGCCCCCAAAACACTTTAAGCCGTGGTTCCTATCTATTCATAGTCACTGGCTACAGCTACCATCCTGCCCACATCGGAGCAGGAGCCTGCTCTGGGATGTGCTGGAGTAAGCAAGGACTAAATTGAGACAGGTTTTGAGAGCGGACACTCTGGATTTTTCAGAGGAATTCTGTACTACATAAGCTAGGGAAGGTTGCATTTAAAAATATCCTAGAAGACAGTGTTCCTGGAAAGACTATTCTGTTATATTAAATAAATTTGGAAAAAAATACTTTCCTTCACCTCTTGAGATAGAAGTGAGACCTTGATGTGAAATTGCATGAATTTATATACCTACTTACATTCAAGCCTTCCTTTAAATAATTGCTCTTTTCAATGGTACAATTCTTGCTTCCATCATTTAACTTACCAAGAAAGATCTCATCAAAACCAATGCTAAACTTCTTCATCAAAATTGCAATGAAGAAGTTCATCATGTTCCAGGGACACACTTTGCACTACCACTTATCCTCATTTACTTTCTGCTTCTGCTATTGGTGAAAGAACAGGGTCAAAATTTATGATCCTGAATACAGAGCAGCAATGAAAGTATCCCACTACGGAAAATAGATCACTGGTGGTTATCCCTGAAAAGAAACAAAATGTAATAAAATCTGCATTTCAACTAGTATAGACAAATTAAATGCTACAACTACATAAAAGACTATTTCAAATGAAGGTAGGACACTTGGCACAGCCTTAACTCATAGCTCTTTTTCAGAAAATTTAATTCACTGAGCTGAGATTGTGAATACACATCCCTTTTAGGATAAGCTATGGTACACACCATGAGAGAGCATCAATAGTCTCCACTGCTTTAAGAAGGGGGTTGTACAGATCTGCCTCTCATAGGCAGGCTATCGGCCTGCCCACATGGGAGTAGGAGCCGACTCCAGGATGTGCTGGAATGAGGCAAGGACCGTCCTTGCTTTGCAGTTTGAAAGAGATTGAAGAAAAACCTGCAGAATTATCTAGAATTCTCCACATGACTTTCCTATCCTTCTTATCCCTCCCCTCTAATAAACATAGCCCTGTGGTGTAATTTGGATGTTCTAAAACATTCTACATCAGGCTTTCCTTCTCTTTCTTTAAAATCAGGTTCTATAATGTTTTCCTCAGTATTTTTGACGAAACTATGACTATAGAGTTCAAAAAGAGACATTAAGAAACTCAAGCAAATAAACAGATACATTATCCCTGAAATGCATAGTTCATGCAGTACTTTTGACTGTGACATGTTTTTCAGTTTCACAGACCTTGATTATACCTATAGTCACCATCAGTTAAATAAGAAACTCTAAGACTACTGCTGCTAAAACTGAGCTATATGGACATTCCAACTAGAAAACATTCTGTAGGAAGGCAAGATAAAAAGATAAAAAGATTCTGTACATACCAGTATCAGATAAACTGAACAGAGATTTATTAAGCTAAGTCTTGCAAGTTTTCCACAAGATTTCTGAACTTATCAGACCATTCCACTTATTCTGCAAGTGTACAGTTTTATGAAAATGTTGCTCCAAAAAGCAAAATTCATATTACACTGCTACCACTCCATCTTCACCCCCCACACAAACACACACACACACACAAAAAAAAAATCTATAGCATTACTATTCATTTAAAGCCTTAGGGTTTAAACAGTCTAACCAAGAGGGTTGTCTTGCCATGGGAAGCAAGCATTGTCACATTGTGTTGTGTTGCCAAACAAAAATAATCTGTGTGCCTCTAACTCATCAATAATTTTACCTTACTACTCTATGCAGTATAGTATAGTATAAAGTATTTAGTACGGACGATAAACTTCAGATATGCTTGTGCCACTACACTCACTCCAATATCCAATTCCTTGTCCAAACTCTTGAAAAATATATCATCTGCCCAATAAAACAAGGCTATTTGAAGGACTAACATACAACCCCAGTTGCCAGTCACTAGTAAAAGAGCTCTGGGCATTAACGCGTGCCTCCTGTTCCAGTAGCTAAAACACATCCATGTGAAGAGCAGTGTGAGAACATTGCTGAATAACACTGTGTGGAATCATGCAATTTCCTTCATGTATTTGTGGTAAACTTTATAATAATAATAATAATACATTCATGGAAATAAGCAAAGTGTTGTTTTAAGCTGAAAATAATAAGGTGCTAAACTATATAAAATATTATATAGATGCATATTCACAGTTAACTGCAATAAAAAATACATTTTCTGTTTTTTCATCCAAGACTTCAATAAACAGGCATTTTCGGTACTGAAAATGTACATTACACACAATCTTCCAAGGCTACAAGTTCTACAATGAAATTTCTGACAAAATAGGTCATGGTACATTATAAAAGTAGGATCATAAAGGCTTTAGCAGACAATAATTATCAGAGCTATCAGGTGTTGCCATTCTACAATATTTCAATTTTCCCAGACTGATATTTTAACAGTAGCTTGAAAGATGAAAAGAAATTACTAAGATGACAGCTCAATTGTGCAGCGAAACTAAGTCATATGAAATACAGACATCCAATGAAGAACCTCTTCTTATTGCCGAGTTTTTGCCTTTGTAATCTTAACATATGGTCTTCCCTGGTGCCAAGAAACTGTCAATAAAAAGCTTTCATTCTTGAAACGCACCGTTGCTCTTCCCAAACCTTAGCAACTGTCCATCCGTTCATGGATGAAGTGAAGATGAGGAAAGACTGAGTATGGAAGAACTCATTATTGCCTGAGTCCAGGCAATAACAAAAAAGTCTGATGCTAACTTGTAACATGTAGATAGGGGAGTACATTGGAAGTAAGTCTGCATTATCAACCTGCGGTTAAAAATCAACTACAATTTCAGGAAACTCTGTTAATATTAGTTCAAAACTGCTGAACTCTATCCCTAATGACAAAACCACCAGAAATTGTAAAAAAACATCTCCCCTTTTCTACTGTTTATTTCAGATCATATCCCTTGAATTAAGTACCAGCTGATGCAGCAGTTTTCTGCAACAGTAAAAGATAGAAATTTTTTAAAATTGGATTTATTGGGATGAGCAAGTTCTATTAAGTAGCTAGATTAAATACAGGATATAAAATTTTCTTGCCAGATTTTGCTGAGAAATTCAGAATCAGACCAGAGAGCTGTACTAGTACTGCCACATGCAAAGCTGAAGAAGAGCCACACAACATTTCTCAGTTCTCCATAATTAAATTAAAGAAGGTAAGCCATATATTTGATTAAAAAAAAGACCCATAACAATCTTTTATCATCTGCATAGGAAGAGAATAGTGAGAATAGTCTAATCAGGATATCCATGGCAAGATCACAATTTTAACTTCTGTTCTCTCCGATTAAAAAATCAACTTGAGAAGACCCAGACCACAACTAATATATAAAATACCTTTTAAGCAAGCTTTTATTACTTACATATACAGTACCCTTGCCTGGATTCAGCTGACACACGGAGTTCTGAGTTTACCCATTCTTCTGGTTTCAACCAGCCCATAGAGTTTACCAGATCTCTGGAGAGTTCTTTTTGTGCTTCTTTTCTGCACACACATTTTTGTCTCTTCAACCTTCTGCTTCATGTTAATTATTTCTTCCTTCATACATATAGATAATTGTGACAGCAGGCCTGTTTATGTGGAGATGATAATCTGCAGGCCAAAAAAAAATGGGAAAAAAATATTGGACTACAAAGAGGAGATACAAGTTCAAGGTAATTTGACACAGATAAGCGTTGACAGTACTGAGTTCTTTATTACTTGACATTTTTGTAACAAAATCAGATATTTTTAATAGCTGAATCATAGCTCAGTCAAAAGTGTGAAAATTCTTTGAAAAATTGTTCTTTTTGTGATAGCATAAATCATAGCAGAAGATAAGAATAAGCATTCTAAGTTTTAAAGCACCTTAATTTAATCATGCAACCTGCAACCTTAATTCTCTCTTCAAAAAATGGATGATTTACACAATTCTAAAAACAAACAAACAAACAAAAACCCACAGACTTTATAGCTACAGATGCGTATTTATATTATTTTAAAATGTAACTGTCAGGACTCCAATGGAGTGGTCTCAAGAAACTGCTCTGTTTGCTTCCCATAGACTAATTATTTCTGCATCCCTTTCTTACTGGTGAGGTTATAGTGATTTTCTTCTGTGGGTACAAGGTAAGCACCCCCAGTAATGGATGTGTTTTAATTATGACTAGGAACATTAAGTTCAAATTTAAGACAATCCACTTAGCTTGCTATAATAAATTCCTTGATTACTACAAATACTGAGGGTGCCTGATACTTTCTTTTATTATTATTTAAAACAGCTAGATAACGCTAAAATAAATACTGTTTTGTTATCTAAAATCTCAGGTGACATGGCTATAGCCACACTAATGTTTTTCTGTACATAATAGAAGTTAGTATTTAAATCAACCTGTTTCTTCGGTTTGGGAATTTCTATATGATGATAGCCCAGCTGTGAGATGGTAAATGCCTGAAAGCTTCAGACTTAGTTTTGATGATTCCAATAGTTATTTCAATTTACACCAAAGAAATTAAGAAGCCAATTGAAAATCTTCAAAGAGAAAAAACTACATATATTAATCTTAAATGGCTTTATACCAGGCCTGTAATTTAGCTATGTGCTGAGGCTCTCAGGAGCGCGCCCTTTTAAAGAAGCTTCTCATTTTAGTTTCATACGGATCAGAGTCCTCACAAATGCATGACACTGTGAATCACTTCAGCTTTGGTTAACCACTTTAAATAACCACAGTTTTTCTTTCATGAGAATTCAGGCTAAAGATATGGTCATCTCTATTGCTGATCATAACTGCAAGTTCCTAAAAGACAAAATCTCCAGCAGCTGAAATTATTTCACTATGAATTTAGCTTTAGCTATTTTTTGTGTGGATGCATGTATGTATGCAGTTAAGATTCTTCCTGAAAACACTTTGTATTTGTAAGTAACTAATTTATGTTCAGACTACAGTTCAGAAAGGGCTTACAAAGAACAAGGCGTTCTCTGGTGAGCACCATGGATAATCTTCAAGGGAACACCTCTGGGGATGGACTCACTCTCTCACAAACCTTTATTTTACTATCAAAATATCTTTCAAGAGCACATGATAACCCTGCACCATTCCTGGTCACACTGCCAATGTAGCTGCTGATATGCACCTGATTTTGAAAACCTGGATCAGGACAGGAGAGAATGCCCTTCCATGGAAAACAACCATATGTGCAATCATCCTGCAGAGGATCATTTCTCTTCTGCTTCAAGGCTCTGGACAATGAAAAAAGAAATAGCTAGAGTTGTAATCCAAAACAAACTCAGTATGCATACAAACAAGGTTTTATGTTGGATGCACTAGCCAGAGAAATAAATATAAATATAAATATAAATATAAATATAAATATAAATATAAATATAATATAAATATAAATATAAATATAAATATAAATATAAATATAAATATAAATATAAATATAATACAGCCTGTCAGTAAGATGTTCTCATCTGTCAGGGATGACAGAGACATGCAGAATCCCATAGGTCATTGTAACTAGATTCTAACACCTCACATGCTATGACTTTCCCGACAGCCTTGAAGAAGAACTACTGAGGCTTTAGGTTGCATATTATCAGAAGAGGAAAGCCTGAAAACCAGAGAAATCACTCAATGTAAATCCAACACATGATCAGATCTGCCCTTCGTACCCATACTACAGAACTTTGCTCTAGCAGCCAACCTAGCGAGGATAGCAAGATACCATCACTGTGTTCTCTATCACAACTAAGCCAATAAAAAAGAAACATGATGCAGACCAGATCTGCTGAGGAGTCAAGGGCTGGGTGGTTCGTCTTCATCCTTGCTTTTTCCCAACCAAGCAAATCTCACAGTCTGTCAAGTTTGGGGAGATCTACTTTAGGAAGAAGGGCTGCAGTAATTGTGAGCCTTTCTAGCAATTTTAGGTGGATCACCCATGTAGCGTATACGATGTTGTGGTGGTTTTACCCAGCTGAGCAGCTGAACTTCACCACAAACTCTCTCTCATGGGCTGCAGCTCCAGCCCAGGGTTTGCTCCTGTGGGGGCTCACCATGGGCTGCAGCCTCCTCCAAGCCACATCCACCTGCTCCACCGGGGGCTCCTCCAGGGGCTGCAGTGTGGAGATCTGCTCCATGTGGGATCCATGGGCTGCAGGGGGACAGCCTGCTCCACCAGGGGCCTCTCCACAGGCTGCAGCAGGAACTGCTGCTGCCTGCGTGGAGCACCTCCTGCCCTCCTGCTGCACTGACCTCGTTCAGGGGGGGCTGCAGGGCTGCTTCTAACTCCTCTCTCCCAGCTGCTGTGGTGCAGCAGGGCTTTTTGTTTGTTTGTTGTTGTTTGCTTTTTTGTTTGTTTGTTTGTTTTACCCTTTCTTAAATCTTTTCTCCGAGACGTCTAAACAACTTTACTCATTGGTTTGGCTCTGGGCAGTGGCAGGTCCTTTTTGAAGCTGGCTGAAACTAGCACTTAACATGGGGCAGTTTCTGGACTCTTCTCACAGAGTCCACCCCTGCAGCCTCCGGCCACCACAACCTTGTGATGTAAACCCAACAGAAATGAATAAATTGTCACTGATCACAAATCTTCACCATTCTTGTTTGTGCACATTGTGCACAATGTGAAATGAATAGCACCTAAACAGCATGTGTAAACATTTTACATATACATATATTACAGAATTCGTCCTCACTATTGTCACCATTATTAGCTGTTTCACCACAATAATCAAGGATTTAAATTTAAATGCAGAGATAAGGAGAAGCTAAAGTCTCTTATTGGCATTACCAAAGTAATTTGGTTCACACAGGTTACCATCAAGGGACAGTAAGTCTATAGGTAAATACATGTATTTTGTAAGACATTTATTGTTTTAAAATATCTTTACCCCTCAAAAAATGTTGACTTTTTTCTGCTAAAATAAAATGATTATTTTTTTCAGTTTCTTTCTCTACCCAGTCTGAATATCCAATGAGAGAAATACAGCTATGCAAACCCAGCTGTACATTCACAGTTATGAATTGTCCAGCTTAAATCCATTTCTAGTCTCAGGCTGGAGACAGTACAAAATTCTTATCCTCTCCAGTAAAGAACAAGGCTTCATAGCACGTAGTAAAATCAGAATGCGCAGCTCATTCAGTTTCTAGGACATAATTCTCAGGTGAGTGATCAACAGTGAAATAACTAAGGTGTTTCTTTTATATCATGTTGAGGGCATGCAGACCTACTCATTTGAGAAAACAGAGGAAGTTTTGCTGGTATTTTTAAGTCTCTCATAGTGATTGTCTTCAATCTTGCTGCTTCTCTGTGTTCTTGTCCTTGCCTCAGAATGCAAAATGGATCCTTAGGAAAGGCAATCTATGGAATAGCCTATAAAATTTACATTTCTTACATATTTTCTCTGTGGAAAGTATTTTAGCTTCTACAGTATTGCTCCAATTGCTCTGAAATTATAGACAGTTTACCTTTTAATTCTTCTTCTTCTTTTTTTTTTTTTTTTAATAGTCTTGAACTACCCTCTGTAGCTGAATCAGAGATAAAAGCCTATTTCTAACTGCTCATGAAATCATTTTCACTCGTGTTAGATCTCAAAATGTCCAAAATAACCCTGTGGGAGTTTTATGGGCAGCAGGGTTTGAATATTGAACAATGTTTATAGAGGGGTTAAAATCTTTTTGCAGAACTCGCAATGGCTTTGCCATTTCAGAAATAAAAAGGAAATTGTCTGGGGACCAAATTTTTTTTTTTCATTATTTACTTTCTGGTCCTGTGAGATCACTGTGCCATGAAAAGAATAAGAACAACCCGTACAAACATGTTTGCCTACAAATATAAGGACAATAATTGAAGTCCAGCTTACACCTTCAAAGAGTAATCCTTGATTCAGGACCTGAGAGCCTGAATCCACATGGTGTTTAAGTTTATGGTGTAAATAAATGAAAAAAATGTCTCCAGTTGAAGTATCTTTCTTTTTCTTATGGTTCAGCGTAAAATAGTACATTAGAATTATTGTTCCTACTCACTTGGATTTAGTGGCATTCGGGACGTCACATAAGTTATGATCCATTGTTCTGTATGTTGAATAGATATCAAATGACAGTTCCTGTGAAGAAAAATATACAATTTACACAGGTAGTAAAAGCTGATACAGGATTAAGCAGTTGGGCACAATGAATAAATTGCTCTAAGACAATCACATCTGCTTTGATCAGTATAAATGACTAGTTAAGAAATCAAACACGCTCCTTCATGAAAAAGGGCAAATTTTAATAACGTACACTTCAAACAAAACACTGCCATATTTGCCAAAGATGAACAAGCAGTAATCAATGATGCATCCGCCCTTAAGAAAGTATATGTAAAAATCTATGTGAACTTTTCAGTTCCCAGTCTTGTCTTGAATTTATGCTTCAGTGCTATATCTTTCAAACACTAATCTCTAACTGTGCTGAATCAACACCTCCACAAGAACAGCAGGAAAGGGAAATACTAGTACTTGAGGCTCCAGTCAGCAAATGCAGAAGAGCTAGGTAGCTTGGCAACAGGGGCACAAGTAATCTTTAAAATTTCATCCATTTAATTCCTCGGGGAGAAAACTCTTAGTGAGCTGAGGTTGCTACTAAAGTGATTGTACAGCACCTACAGTAACTGATCAATTTAAAAATGCAATAAAAAAATAGAATGATTGAAAGAAGTACAGGGCAACTGATTATTTTTTTTTTCCTCTTAGGATTACTTAGATTTGCAGGTTAGCAATGAATAGCTGTTACCTAGAGGACACCTGGAGAGATTAATTCTTACAGTATTGTATAGTCTTAATTCAGGTAGGCTTCAATTCCTTATTATTTCCTTGAAACACTGCCATCTCAGTAGAACTATAAAAATAAAAAATAAAACCAGAAGAAAGAAAAAAAAAAACACGTACGCTCAAAGAACCTGTGAGGTAAACAGCTTGTTTTTAAAAGTCAGTTTCCAATCCTGTTTACGTTTATTGTCCCTAATATTCAAAAGAATTCAGAAGGCTGAACAAAAACACTTACAAATTTGAAACAAATAAGATGGTTTATAGAGAATTAGCTATAATGTATAATGTATCATTCTTTATAAATATAGCCAACTATATCAACAGTTCTCTGGTTCTCTGGTGTTATTCGTGAGCTCTTCTAAGTGGTCAGGAAAATGTTGATAGCCTAGAGGCCACATTTACCTTAAAAAAAATAAAAAAATATACAAGGAATTTTATCACAGAATGTTCAGTGACACTAATACTACCTTGCAACATGCAACAAGGTAGAATTATGCACTTCCATGCACAGAGAGGCTATGTTCAGAAGTCCTTACATTTAACATGACTACCACTACCATTTGTACTTGCTTACATTACACCTATTTTAACAATATTTTTTCAGTCTAGATTCCTAACAATACCATTTTGGACATTTATGCTGAGAGCTTTTTACCTGAGCAACATGATATGAGAAGATATCCAAATTATACCACTGTTGTTGCTGTTCACAGCCCAGAAGATCTACTCCTCAGTCCCCAGACAAGGAATTAACCCCTAAAGATGACCGTTTTGTACAATTTATAGGCTGGGTCTTGTGATTCTTGAATTCTGTAAAGGCTTGTGCATAAGGCTTTCTATCCGAAAGGTGTTAATTAGAATTTTTGTTTGTTTAAAGCAGAGCTCCTTTTCCAGATCGGCAGGGAAACAGAAGAGAGAATAGTGGAAGGGACCCTTCCAACCTTTCTGTGCTCTCTTCATCAACTCCTCCTATTCATAAGCAAAACCTCTTTTTCTCCACAGCTACCCTCTCGCTGCTCCCTTCCAGAGGATGAAGAAGGGAGGGGAGGGGGGAAGGGCAGATCTTCTGTTTCGGAAGTGCTGAGACCCTTGATAGAACTGGAACTTCTGGTGCCATTGAGAAAAAGCTTCCAGCACTTGCTGGAGTAACTGAACTCTCAAGTACTTTGAAAGTTGGCAGCTGCAACTCTTGTCAGTACCACTTAAAGAAGTGTCCTTGGTAAATTTAGAGCTTGTGAACAAATAGAATATGATTAATTTTGTTGCCACTCCTAACAAAGACCAAATCCCAGTGAATCAACTATGTGGGAACCAAAATACCACAGTAACAGGCACTTCAGAAATACATCATAAAGCCTGTTCTGTAAACATGATGGGTTAAATCTTAGCCCTACTGAAGCGAAAGCTCACTCGAAATCAAAGAATACTACTTAGTGTTCCTCTAGGGAAATTGTTCAAAGGCTTATCCTGCCAACAGCACCAGGCTGCTTCTCATACCTTGCTCTAGTACTAGCTCTGCCTGCCGGCAGGTTGCATCTACTGTGCAATCTTGAATAATTCACTCACCTCTCACCTCTGTGCCCTGAACCTGTCTCTGACACTAAAGCTTTGCTTTAACAGGAGATGGGAGGCTTCCTGCAACATAATGCAAGCAGCTGCTACTCGGTACCCAAATGCTGCTATTATATTACCTCTGGCAACAACTGCAAGCGTACTATATCTAGTCTATCTTCAGAGAACTGGGGATTTTGTTTTGTTGCTGCCATCCTATAAACACCATCTTCTTTCCACTCATGAATCTGGGCAATATAAAAGAGAAATTGCCTAACAGAAAAAGAAGCCATGAAAGGACTCACAAATCTATCACAGACAGGCCCCTATGTGGTAAGCAGGATGACGGCATGTTCCAAAATGAGATAATGCATTCTGAATTGTGAAAGAGAAAAGATAATTTAAGGAAAAAGTCATTGAGGTTTGCTGCTAAAAGCTGTTCAGAATCATGTTAACCTCCAAATAGGTAACAAATTAATCTCTATAAAATCAGGCAAGGTCATCCAAAGCTAACAGTTTCAGCTCAGCACTGAACACACAGTCTGGATGCTCTTTGAACAATGCTGAGTTCATATAAACAACCAAGCAATAAGCACCCTAACACACAGGCTGTTCAACAAGTACTGAAAAATGCAATTTGAGCAATGTGATAAAAAAACATGGCTATAGCACCATGTGGAATAGAGCAGACATACTCAAAAAGCATCTAGGTAATTGACCCTCCACTACTACAGCTATACCTTGAGGCCATTCAAACCTGTGGAAGAA